GAGAAAATTCAAGAACGAAAATGCACTCACATAAGAGCTGTAATGGATCTGGATATTAAAAAAATTGCTTTTTCGTTCCATTATCAAATGCCCTAGGAACTATTAAAAGTAACAGCTTTTAACTAGAAATCCTCACAGTTACAGGATTTGCAGTATCACTTTGCTCTGCACCATCATTTTGGGACTGGAACGCAACGGGATCGAACAACAGCTGGACAATTTTATCCGAATTGATCATGCATGCATGCATCAGCGGAGTAATGCCAAATTCATCTGGCTTATTGACGTCCGTCTGCAAATCTGCCTCTTGCAAAAGAAACCTACAAGAGTGATGCATTTGTTATCAAGTAGCAAACAGCTCAACAATTAATGCTCAGACCTTCCTCCTTCCTTCGCCGTTTACAAAATGTGAATTAATTAATAAAGTCGGACGGATCGTTGCTTCAGCGTATCGTATTTTTATGTCATCAACAAAATCACGGTTCCACTATGCTATTACCGAAACTACTGCTTCGCCTGTTAGCGAGTTTGTTTCCCCACATCCATCCCTCGTTTTCCACAAGCAAGTGCTGCACCGCCTGTGTGTTCCTTCAGGTTCCCTTAATGGCCGCCTACCTACACTTATTCCGAATAAATATTACCCGTTCTAGGGGTCACGAGCGCAGGGAGGGTAATGCACTGCACTGCCCCCACTAAACACTTGACTGTTAAGCTGTTATAATTTAGTGTATATTCTAAAGCAAGCCTCCAAAAAAACGAAAAAGAGAAAGAATTTGAAATGAACAATTTACCTGACGAGAGCAATCTGGCTGCACTGTATTGCCCGAATTAATGGAGTCTCCTGGCAAAATTCCGGTACTGGTTGTCTCGGCAAACATGGTGTCATCCCGTAGAATGCTGGACGCTGATACAGCATCAAAGAATTAATGCCAAATTTCGCAGCAAAATGCTTCAACCAAAATTTGATATTTTTACTTGGCCCTGCAAAGAGCGTTCTTATCCAATCATTGTTATCAAAAAAGACGAGGAAAATCGATCTAAAAATAATATGTTATAGCACCAGTTCTTCCAGTAACACAGCTGGATTGATTGTGCTTGAACACCACGCTGGCGGCTGCTGCGTATGCATATTGCTTCAGCATTCCAAGCAGCAGTTATTTCATCGTGGCGGAACTTCTCGACATCAGTGTAGTTAAGTGACCTTTTCGTATCTACTGTGAACGAAGGTACATCAATTGGCAATGAATAGGCTGCCAGAGAAGCCGAAGTCTATCTTTTCCTACATTCTACCAACGAATACCCTGAACGCATAACAGCCTCCTGGCTCACGGTGAAAAATTTCGGAAGTTCTACGAAAGGAATGTGCAGACAGAGCGGGAGAAAAAGGCAACTGGGGAGTGGAGAAGTTAAGTGAATCTCGTTACACATCAGTGTGTTTGCCACCACTCACTGCACCCAACCTGCTGCCCTAAATATTACCCCTCTTACGATACACAGATTCAGTTCAATGGTAGATTAGTACCAACATGCTTCGCTTCTAGTTTACTTCTAAAAATAACCCCCCAAAAAAGACATCCGATTGGAAAATCAGTTTTGAGAACATAAATACGAGAAGTTTTACCCGATTCTATCCATTTTTCAATGATGCCCACCAAAGGATTACTGTTATTTGGTTCGTAATAAATCGAGTCCCAAAAAGGTTCCGGTGATTTCTGGTCTAAATCGTAGAGTGCTTTCATAAACTGGAAGTGTCCATTGGATGCCAGAAGCTCCACAACACGGCTTCGATGGCGTCCATCGTTCTCTTTTCTATACCATTTGCAACCTAGCGAGAAGAGACCATTCAAAGCCTATAAAAAACTTGTTTCGTCGTTAAATAAATTTCACATAATTCATTTTCTCTTTTACCGATTGCTTTACACCATCCGGTTTTCAATTTCCGTAAAATTCTATGCTCAATGATTCGGACAAATATCACTACTCTTCCATTTCATTTTATTCAACTGTTCATTTAGCGTAATTATGGA